GGAATATTATTCAGCCATAAGAAGAAAACAGATCCTACCATTTGCAACAACATGGATGGAGCTAGAGGGTATTATGCTCAGTGAAATAAGCCAGGCAGAGAAAGACAAGTACCAAATGATTTCACTCATCTGTGGAGTATAAGAACAAAGAAAAAAAACTGAAGGAGCAAAACAGCAGCAGAAACAAAGAACCCAAAAATGGACTAACAGTTGCCAAAGGGAAAGGGACTGGGGAGGATGGGTGGGAAGGGAGGGATAAGAGCAGGGAAGGGAAAGAAAGGGGGTATTATGATTAGCATATATAATGTGGGGGGTTCAAGGGGAGGGCTGTGCAACACAGAGAAGACAAATAGTGATTTTACAGCATCTTAGTACACTAATGGACAGTGACTATAATGGGGTATGTCAGGGGGACCTGATGATGGGGGGAGTCTACTAAACATAATGTTCCTCATGTAACTGTAGATTAATGATACAAAAAAAAGGAAGAAAAGCAAAATAAAGGTTTTCTGTTAGACATACCTTTGCAAAGTTGATTGAAAGCCCAGGAAGCTCTGCTAATCCTCCACCCATGATGGATTTCTGTGCTATAATAACTCCAAAGGTAGGCAAACAGGAGAAATCAGAGCTTCCTTCATAAATAAATTTCAAATCTTCTGGATCCTTGGGCGATGCTCCCACTCCAAGGGCATACATAATAGCTTCCAGTTCCGTGTAAGTAGAAGAAAATGGAGGAAGTTTGTAGCCGATGGCTCTAGCCTATGGGACAATTATACAAAACAATGTCTTATTGATATTTTGGTGAAATCCTTAAAATTTTAACTTTCAAAACTATTAAATGCTTACATACCTAGGTCTGCTTTTGAAAACATGAAAATAGAATGTCATTTTAGTGAATTTCATATAGTATCATAATTGTTTCATTATACTTGATTTTTTAATAGAAACCAATCAGATAATGTATAGAAAGGACTTCATTTAAAAATAATTACTTTTTTATTGCTTGCTTCTTGCTAACAGTTTGTCTCATTTTCACCTTTCCCGTCTCTGATGGTGGAAAGCCCTATTAATTCAGCAACTATCAGTCACTCAAAAATACAAAAAATAATGGATTTGTTAGGAATAGGGATAGTGAATTGCCCTATAATATCTATTATATAAAATTCACTGTAAACAAATAAGCAAAATACTACTAAGTGCTTGTAAATTAGATTGCCTCATAATGGTTTTAGTTAAAATGAGATTTCACCTCAAGTTCCTTCCCAGGAATGCCCTTTAACTAACTGGATATTATACTTTCTACTTAGTGATGATAGGCCTAGCTAATACGTGGAGCATGATTAGGTTATAAAAGAATGATGTCCAATTCTCAATTGCTTTCACTCTGAAATAGGAATAGGCAAACAACTCAGAGGTAGAATGGTTTTTACACTTCTAAAGAGTAGTTTAACAAAAAAGAAAAACAGGAGGACTGTGACAGAAACAGTACATAGTCCATGAAGCCTAAAGTATTTACTATCTGGCCCTTTGCGAAAGTATTTGCCACCCTCTATTATAAAGTCAAATCACATTAATAAGCTGGTCATAATCTCAGGTCTAAAACTAGATTGTTAATTTTATCACTATGTCTGCTCTGGGTCACAAAACACTAGAATCAAGCCTGTCAAATAATTTATTTCTTATTTATGCACTCCAATTTTTTTGAAGGGTTAGTACAGAAGACAGAAAATCAGCAACTTCACATCAGCTATTAGAATTTCTGACATAGTGGGAGGCTTTTTACTGTAGCCATGTTGAACTATTTCCAAAATTAGAATGTATCAATGTTTTCCCTTAGAAGAAATGACTTCAAAGAGGCACTGACATAAATATCCTTTTCCAAAAATAAAGTTAGTAACTCAGGTAGGATTATCAATGATACTCCAAAACAAAGGAAGACACTTGTCTAATACTGAAGAAGAGAAAGTAAAACTTACCCTTAATATTTTAGCCTTGTGGTCATTCAACTTGTATAGTATTTAGTACACATTTCATGAACAGTTTTGTGGTCACTTATCTTTCCTATTTAACAATAAATTAATACCCTGGAAAATAATATTTTTGTATGAAAGAAAAGGAGAGAAGAAAAAAGAAAAGAAAAAAATCCCAGAGAAGGCACAGCTTTAGGCTTTTTTCCCCCACTTACAAATCCTGATGTGGCTGTTGATGCCGCATGACTGGTATCATTTGTCGAAATTCCTCCATCTGATTCTATTTGACTCAGGGCTCCAATTATATTGCCAACTGATTCTAAAAAATAATAATAATAATAATAATGATAATGCTTTTGTTAAAGACATGACTAAGAAAAGCTACAATGTGCTAGATAATTACTCCTATAGCATTCAGCACTAATGTATGATGTCAACCTATTACAAAAAAAAGGTGTGAAAGACTTTGAAACAGACCAAAGATAACTGGGTATTTTCAATGGAAAACAAGACACTGTCCAACATCCTGTTCACAGGTTATGATTCTAAGGAAGTGCTGAGCTTGGCAATGTCTTTGAGCAATATTATGCCTCTATAAGGTGGGAGCCTTGTCCATAGAAATGCAGCGTCTGACTGGTGGAAGCGCAACTAATTTCCCTTCTCTCCCCACCTTGCCCCTGCTCCAGGATGGAACAATACCAAGATCACTACCATCCCCAAGTCTCTATACTATCTTCTATTCAGTAATAGCTTCGAATATAGTACTGAAAATTCTTCCAGAGAAACCATTATTATGACCAGTGTGGGGAAGTTGGGGTTCCTATGGCCAGGACCCTCACTGAACTTAAACCGCCTGATGATGTAACTTTCCACAGGAAATCAACTAGAATGCACAGCAGATTCACAAGAATCATTATTGCTGCCTAAGTTTCATGAGAATTTTAACACTGGTTTTCTTTCTAAGAAGGCCAAGGAATAAACTACCACTAGTAACTTTATTTAAACATAATGGTCAGACTTTGGTGATCATTAAATTGAATATTTGCCTTGAGGAACGACAAAATGCTGCTTCTAGAGCTTTCCTATCGATAAAGTTCCAGATAAAGCTTTCATTGCACAAACTTACCTTCTTTTCTAAATGGCTATAATTAAAACACTTGAAAATCTTCAGGAATACTACTTTAATAACTGGAGAAAAAGTCATTGATGATGAAATGTTGATTCTACAATATACTGTAACAATCCCCTCCAGTAAGGGAAACCCTTTAATTAATTGAGTTAATTTTCATATAAGCAGCCAACTGAAATGAACTAGGCTACTACTTCCACACCCGTAGGCAATAAGCTATCATTACACCATATAGAGAGCTCAGCCCAGTGCTCTGGGCAGAGGCAGAGCGCTAGTGCTGGACCTACTACCAGGAGAACAAGCCAGGTAATAAACCCCTTTCTTCCCAAGAACGTTCTACTGTCATTTCTTTGGTCACAGTGAATCCATAGTGAACTTGCCCGGGGCTGGAACCCATTAGCAAGACAACCAGTGATTCCAGACAGGATTCAGAAGTCTAAAGCATTAATAAAGGAGGCTCCTGGAGCATCTGCATGTGCTGTAAGAGACTAAAGGCTCTGGGACAAACCTTAGAGATATGGGCCTCCTTCCACACTCAGACAAAGCCAAACTACGGAATGTGAGATGCTAGGGGTAGATTCCACTCCTGGTGATGCCAGTAAGGAGGCTTCTTGCCAACTAACCCTACCCTTACCACCCATTCAGGTTGCTGCCTAGAGGGGAGCTATTTAACCAAAAGTCCCCTGGGCACAGGCTGAAAGTGCTGCAGTCAGAGACAGCACTTGGCTCAAACTCAGAGAAAGCTGTGCTCAGTTATTAGGTGCTCTGGGATTTAGTCCCATCACCTGTAAAATGAGACCACTGAACTAGGTGCTCTTGAAAGGCTCAATTCCATAGAAAATGTGAAATTATTTTTCTAACTATACTTCAAATACTAGAGGTCTCTTCTCACTTATAATTATGTAATTCATTTAGTTAGCTCTTTCTTTATATTAGTCTAATACTTTAAAGGTAATAAAGTAGAACTCTGATGTTAGAGGGCATTTTAAAATATATTTCTTTCTTTTTCCTTCCATTCATTTTCATTGATAGGTGACTGCTATTCATAGACTAAATTTATCTCAAATAACGGAGTAGAGAAAATACTACTATAACATAACAATCATGTATCCTCTAATTGAGAAAAAACATACTGAAAATTTCAGTGAGTGGACCAGCAGGCAGGAAAGTGTTATTAAGGAGAGGAAAAAAAAAAACAGTCATTTTTCAGATATATTCTTCTATCACACTGAATATAAAATTACTAAGAGGAAAAAAAGATTTTTACTGATTTCATGATTTTTCCCAAACGAATCTTTAAATTTCATATGCTACATGCATATGTGAGCTATACTAGAAAAAAATCATGTGACTTTTATTGGTTACCTACTCCTGTGGCATGTCATAGATAGTTCAATAGTTCAAAGTAACAAGCATTTCTAAGTCCTTTCTATTAGCTCAGCACTATGACAACAACGAATACAGAAGTATACATGAGATACAGCTCTGGCTCCAAACAAACATACTATGCAGTTAAGAAACCACATACTTAGGAAATAATAACAGTGAAAAGCAATTAAAATTAGATGCTTAAGTGCTAGAAGTTCAGCTAAGAGAGAGATCTAAGCAGCTCAATATCTGGGGAGGTTTGGTTGACTACCTGGGCTTGAGATTTTCTAAAGAAGCATTAAGATTAGTAGAGGCAATAAAAAAGGAGGAAAGGGCATTTTTGAAAGAGAGAGAGATAGTAGCAAAGAGAAAGTGCTAAAACAAAGCAAAAATCTACTCAGAGACAGGCTTAAATAAACTTTTGGGGATAAAGGAAAATCAGGTGAGATAAGGAACACATGGTTAGATAATGGAAAACTCTGAAACCAGTTGTCTATTGTAGAGTACATGCACTCAGCACAAATGGATAAATACCTCATACCATCCAGCTACCACACATACGCCAAAAAACTACGGTTATAAAAGAACTAAGAAACTACAGTGGGAACGCATACGTATCTTAAATTCAAAGTGTTCTAATACCTACTAGAGAAGAAAAATGTTCTCTAGATGATTTAAGTGTCTAAGTACCCACAGTTAAAACAGAAGACAATTCCCAAAGAGACGAGAAGGCTCTGTTGCCTCTGGTTCCCCAACCAGGACTGACCCGGCCTGGGCCTCTTTACCTTGAATTCTCTGAGGCTTGCTGGCATTATCAAAGTCACAGATCTTCTGCCAGTTAGCCTTCACCGCCTCCGGAGTCATTGGCTGATTCTTCTGTCTTACACAGGCTCCGAGGGTCCGCTCCCAGCGTACTGGTTATAGAAACAAAACTAAGGTACTGAGTACACAGTTTAAGAGGGACAGAAAAAAGTAAAATTCATAAGAGCCCTCTAAATTTTTTTCAACCTGAAGAAAAAGGGAATTCTGGGGGAAAAAAGGTCCTAACTTCTAAAGAGTTTTACTATAAGCTTCAAAATGTGTTTTTCCTAAAATAATAAACCCCATTAGGATGTCAATTTTTAAAAATGTATTTGAAGCTGAAGAGAAAAACTTCTCTGACTATGCCAGACACTACTAAATGCTGAATGAAATGCTGACTCAGAAGACATTAAATTATAAATAATTGTGCCAAAGAATGACTTCACGACCACAGACCACTCGGATAAGGCAGTTAAAGGAAACAGAATAGAGCTTTGTGGGATAGCAAACTGAGGACTAGTAGCGGTAACAGGTCAAAGGGTCAGACAACCACGTACATCAGTTCACTCCAAATAACCCTCTTCCTCCCTTTGTTTTTCCTCCTTTTCCACAGGAAGTCAACTAGAATGCACATCACAGATTCACAAGAATCATTATTGCTGCCTAAATTTCATGAGAATTTTAACACTGGTTTTCTTTCTAAAACGGCCAAGGAATAAACTACCACTAGTAACCTTATTTAAAAATAATGGTCAGACTTTGGTGATCATTACATTGAATATTTATCTTGAGGAATGACAAAATGCTGCTTCTAGAGCTTTTCTATCATTAAAGTCCCATATAAAGCTTTTATTGCACAAACTTACCTTCTTTTCTAAATGGCTATAATTAAAACACTTGAAAATATTCAGGAATATTACTTTAATAACTGGAGAAAAAGTCATTGAGGATGAAATGTTGATTCTACAATATACGGTAATAATCCCCTCCAGTAAGGGCAACCCTTTAAAATATTCAGTTAATTTTCATATGAGCAGCCAACTGAAAACCTGATTTCGGGTACTGGAATTTTCACAACTATTTTTAAATGTCAAAAAGCAATTATCCAATTTGGAGCTCACAAGGTTTGAGAGCTGGGGTAAGAGAGTTGAAGCCACATGGGTTTACTGTTGGGCTGACAGAGTGCTTGTAATTTCTGTCCCAGAAAGTTGTCCAGTGTGATTCCTCTCTGTCTCCTCCTGGATGGCTCATGCTCCAAGGAAGAAGAGAGTCAAATGAGAGAACTGGAGAGCATGCCTGCTGCCCCATCTGGGCTCTTGCCATCTTTGCAAAACCAGCCCTCCCTGCCACTCACTTCTCTGCTGAAACAGCAAGGACAAGCATGTGGGATGCCAGAGACGTGGGAGAACAAACAACACAAAGAGAGATCATTTTGCCTACAGGAATAGCCAGTTTTGAATAAGACAGGACAAGCTCTGAATATGGACTACTGAAAGAACAAAACTGAACAGATTGTTTAAAATGACACAAGTCTGAAGGACAATTTACATGCTTTAGAAAACCTGTTGGTATAACACCATTTGTGCTTGAATATGCATGCACTAGATCCATTGATTAGGCATTGGACAAGGTCTTTACAGAGCTCTAATTGGATATACAGGTTTAAAGTTATTAAAATTATATATGGCAAACCAAAAACATTACAAAAACTTACATTTTCCAATCCATCCTCCTCCAACCTACCAAAAAGAGGGGAAAAAAGTTATACCATCTAATGTGAAATCACTAACAGGAGTTTTTAAAATCAGAAAGAACAGGCAGCTATCTTACTAAGAGTACTAGATGCTAGATGACATTGCATGAAAATACTATAGCTCTTTAAAAGTCTATTGGCCCCTCTGATTGCACTGATTATGCCATCAGAGTAGAAGCACAAAGCAGCACCATGTACAGAAGAGCATGACTCTGACATTGAGAACCGAGGTTTGATATTAGTTCTCTGGCTAGCTGTGTGACCCTGGTCACATTACTTGACTTCACTAAATTGAAGTTTCCCCTTTTGTAAAATGAGGATAATAATATACTCTTTGTGAAGAGCCATGAAGGTTAAACAATATAAATGCAGTTGACCCTTGAACAATGGAGGACAGGGGTACCAACTCCCCATGCAGTTAAAAATCCACATATAACTTTTGACTTCCCAAAAACTTAATCACTAATAGCCTACTGTTGACCAGAAGCTTCACTGATAACATAAACAGTCCCTTAACACATATTTTGTATATTATATGTATTATATACTATATTCTTACAGTAAAGCATGCTAGAGAACAATTTTCAAATTGGCACAAATCTCCAAAAACTTTTCCAATATATGTATTGAAAAAGTCTGCATATAAGTGGACCAACACAATACAAGCCTATGTTTTCAAGGGTCAACTGTAGTAAAACTGCCCAGCACCTTGCAGACTGAACAACACATCTCTCTAGGAAAACTTCATGAGTAAAAAAGTAAAAAGGAAAGAAAAATAAAACCAGGATTTGACTTAATGAACTACATAGTCATTTTACTGAAACATCTTTATATAGAGATAAGGCAAATGACCAAATACATTTAACTGCTATGCAGTAAGGTAAATTTTTTTCTAGAGGTCATTTGAGGAAATCCTCAGAAGAAAATGTTTGATGTAAAGAAAATCTGTTTGTCATATCTTCAAACACTGCAACTTCAGTGTACCAGAATTTATCACAAGAATGCCACATGCCCATGAGAGAAGAAAATGTACGAGCAGACAGTACCCACTTTAGTGGCTCTGGGCTCAAGGGTATGGCTTTTGATTACTTTTTGCCTTTATAGTCATATGCCCACACCTTTTGTGATAAGCCCATTAGCCTTGATGCTGTCATAGTAGATAAATCAGCAGTGGTTCTGATACCAGGCAAGAGAGATAATCACTTTTTACCATATTTTGGAGTGAAGCAACAAGCTATAAGCTCCTCTCAGGCTAGAAGCAACCACTCCAGTCAAACCAAAGAATCTGTATCTGCCATTCTAGCTAGCTATCAGAACTTTGCAAAGTGGCAATTTACTTTCAAGATTTCAGTCAAAATATCACACACAAAAAATCTTCACTAAAAATGTTCACAATATAGTAAAAGAAAACAGAGCAACATAACAAACTTCATCTGCAGCATGATCTAAGTTATCTGGGTATGTTTGGGTGTATGTATAAATGTGTATATAAAAAAAGACTACTCATGTAAAATGTATATCTAATCAAAGACTGGGAGAGAACACATAAAAATTTAATAATAGTTATCTCTGGATAGTGATTTTTATTTTCTTCTATATACTTTCCTGTATATTTTAAATTTTCTACAAAAAGCACATTATTTTTGTTCACATACCTAATAATAGATACAACTGTAAAAGACAAAAAGTTTAATGATAAAATTCTTTAATAACATGAAAGACAGGCAGGCCAAACTGTGAACTCCAGATGGCTTGATATTATTAAATTTTCCTCTTCTGTAAATTTAGAGTTGTAAAGTCCTTTCTACCGCTAATTTTCCACAACTCATATTTAATGGCTGTGATTAAGAAAATGGAGACACATATCTCTGCTTTGACAAGTGTAGACTTTTTATGTATTTATCAGGTTTTTATTCAAATGTATCAGGTTAATATATACCATTCACTTCAAACTGAGTGAGGTTACTTTGCAACCAAGAAATATTTTTGAGTATCATAGTATTCCTCATAGGACAGGTTCATTATTACCACAGAGAATCAAATAAAGGTGGGGTGATCTAAAATACAACTGTTCATGCTAGAAAAGAAAAAGACCAAAATCAAATGAGAAATCAAAAATGTATAAATTGGCATTAGAAGATCGAAAGTGACTTTGAGTATGGAGCAAAAAAATAGGATATTGCTGGATGGTGGGATTATGCATGATTTTTATTTTTATGATAAACATCTAAAGCTCTGCAATAAGGCAAAATAGAAGAATTTATTTTTAAAGTTAAGGTAAATAATAAATTATGTTTACTGATCTATCATACCAGACTAAATTCTTGCTATGCTGATATAGTAGCTAAAATTAAGGGGTAACACTATGGATGAGGTCTATGTTAAGAGTGTAAAAGTACGATTTCTGGTTACCACAACAAAATGAAATCTCAGGGAGATTAACCTGTACAATATTCCATCAGGCCAGAACAAAGAACTGACACAATTTTTTTTTGCAATTACCAGAACAAACTATTCAAAACCTGGCCTGGCTGACTCCACACCCCAAGCTCTAGCATTCTACTTTACCATTCAGGTTCTCAAACCAAATGACACTTACATGATTAAACACATCAAACCAGCCAGGTTTTCATTTGGTAAGAAATTAGGAAGGAAGAACTAAGGTTAAAGACAATTTATGAAGTTGCTGTTACTTTCTCAAAAAGCACATTAGTCAGCACTTGTCCCTTTATTATATCAAACATAATATCTAAAAACATGCAAGTCATGTCAACTTGCATCAACAGATGCAGATCTTTACAAAAGCTCCTGGAGCATCTGCATGTGCTGTAAGAGACTAAAGGCTCTGGGACAAACATTAGAGATATGGGCCTCCTTCCACACTCAGACAAAGCCAAACTACGGAATGTGAGATGCTAGGGGTAGATTCCACTCCTGGTGATGCCAGTAAGGAGGCTTCTTGCCAACTAACCCTACCCTTACCACCCATTCAGGTTGCTGCCTAGAGGGGAGCTATTTAACCAAAAGTCCCCTGGGCACAGGCTGAAAGTGCTGCAGTCAGAGACAGCACTTGGCTCAAACTCAGAGAAAGCTGTGCTCAGTTATTAGGTGCTCTGGGATTTAGTCCCATCACCTGTAAAATGAGACCACTGAACTAGGTGCTCTTGAAAGGCTCAATTCCATAGAAAATGTGAAATTATTTTTCTAACTATACTTCAAATACTAGAGGTCTCTTCTCACTTATAATTATGTAATTCATTTAGTTAGCTCTTTCTTTATATTAGTCTAATACTTTAAAGGTAATAAAGTAGAACTCTGATGTTAGAGGGCATTTTAAAATATATTTCTTTCTTTTTCCTTCCATTCATTTTCATTGATAGGTGACTGCTATTCATAGACTAAATTTATCTCAAATAACGGAGTAGAGAAAATACTACTATAACATAACAATCATGTATCCTCTAATTGAGAAAAAACATATTGAAAATTTCAGTGAGTGGACCAGCAGGCAGGAAAGTGCTATTAAGGAGAGGAAAAAAAAAAACAGTCATTTTTCAGATATATTCTTCTATCACACTGAATATAAAATTACTAAGAGGAAAAAAAAGATCTTTACTGATTTCATGATTTTTCCCAAAAGAATCTTTAAATTTCATATGCTACATGCATATGTGAGCTATACTAGAAAAAAATCATGTGACTTTTATTGGTTATCTACTCCTGTGGCATGTCATAGATAGTTCAATAGTTCAAAGTAACAAGCATTTCTAAGTCCTTTCTATTAGCTCAGCACTATGACAACAACGAATACAGAAGTATACATGAGATACAGCTCTGGCTCCAAACAAACATACTATGCAGTTAAGAAACCACATACTGAGGAAATAATAACAGTGAAAAGCAATTAAAATTAGATGCTTAAGTGCTAGAAGTTCAGCTAAGAGAGAGATCTAAGCAGCTCAATATCTGGGGAGGTTTGGTTGACTACCTGGGCTTGAGATTTTCTAAAGAAGCATTAAGATTAGTAGAGGCAATAAAAGGAGGAAAGGGCATTTTTGAAAGAGAGAGAGATAGTAGCAAAGAGAAAGTGCTAAAACAAAGCAAAAATCTACTCAGAGACAGGCTTAAATAAACTTTTGGGGATAAAGGAAAATCAGGTGAGATAAGGAACACATGGTTAGATAATGGAAAACTCTGAAACCAGTTGTCTATTGTAGAGTACATGCATTCAGCACAAATGGATAAATACCTCATACCATCCAGCTACCACACATACGCCAAAAAACTACGGTTATAAAAGAACTAAGAAACTACAGTGGGAACGCATACGATTCTTCAATTCAAAGTGTTCTAATACCTACTAGAGAAGAAAAATGTTCTCTAGATGATTTAAGTGTCTAAGTCCCCACAGTTAAAACAGAAGACAATTCCCAAAGAGACGAGAAGGCTCTGTTGCCTCTGTTTCCTCACCAGGACTGACCCGGCCTGGGCCTCTTTACCTTGAATTCTCTGAGGCTTGCTGGCATTATCAAAGTCACAGATCTTCTGCCAGTTAGCCTTCACCGCCTCCGGAGTCATTGGCTGATTCTTCTGTCTTACACAGGCTCCGAGGGTCCGCTCCCAGCGTACTGGTTATAGAAACAAAACTAAGGTACTGAGTACACAGTTTAAGAGGGACAGAAAAAAGTAAAATTCATAAGAGCCCTCTGAATTTTTTTCAACCTCAAGAAAAAGGGAATTCTGGGGGAAAAAAGGCCCTAACTTCTAAAGAGTTTTACTATAAGCTTCAAAATGTGTTTTTCCTAAAATAATAAACCCCATTAGGATGTCAATTTTTAAAAATGTATTTGAAGCTGAAGAGAAAAACTTCTCTGACTATGCCAGACACTACTAAATGCTGAATGAAATGCTGACTCAGAAGACATTAAATTATAAATAATTGTGCCAAAGAATGACTTCACGACCACAGACCACTCGGATAAGACAGTTAAAGGAAACAGAATAGAGCTTTGTGGGATAGCAAACTGAGGACTAGTAGCGGTAACAGGTCAAAGGGTCAGACAACCACGTACATCAGTTCACTCCAAATAACCCTCTTCTTCCCTTTGTTTTTCCTCCTTTTCCACAGGAAGTCAACTAGAATGCGCATCACAGATTCACAAGAATCATTATTGCTGCCTAAATTTCATGAGAATTTTAACACTGGTTTTCTTTCTAAAACGGCCAAGGAATAAACTACCACTAGTAACCTTATTTAAAAATAATGGTCAGACTTTGGTGATCATTAAATTGAATATTTGTCTTGAGGAATGACAAAATGCTGCTTCTAGAGCTTTTCTATCATTAAAGTCCCATATAAAGCTTTTATTGCACAAACTTACCTTCTTTTCTAAATGGCTATAATTAAAACACTTGAAAATATTCAGGAATATTACTTTAATAACTGGAGAAAAAGTCATTGAGGATGAAATGTTGATTCTACAATATACGGTAATAATCCCCTCCAGTAAGGGCAACCCTTTAAAACATTCAGTTAATTTTCATATGAGCAGCCAACTGAAAACCTGATTTGGGGTACTGGAATTTTCACAACTATTTTTAAATGTCAAAAAGCAATTATCCAATTTGGAGCTCACAAGGTTTGAGAGCTGGGGTAAGAGAGTTGAAGCCACATGGGTTTACTGTTGGGCTGACAGAGTGCTTGTAATTTCTGTCCCAGAAAGTTGTCCAGTGTGATTCCTCTCTGTCTCCTCCTGGATGGCTCATGCTCCAAGGAAGAAGAGAGTCAAATGAGAGAACTGGAGAGCATGCCTGCTGCCCCATCTGGGCTCTTGCCATCTTTCCAAAACCAGCCCTCCCTGCCACTCACTTCTCTGCTGAAACAGCAAGGACAAGCATGTGGGATGCCAGAGACGTGGGAGAACAAACAACACAAAGAGAGATCATTTTGCCTACAGGAATAGCCAGTTTTGAATAAGACAGGACAAGCTCTGAATATGGACTACTGAAAGAACAAAACTGAACAGATTGTTTAAAATGACACAAGTCTGAAGGACAATTTACATGCTTTAGAAAACCTGTTGGTATAACACCATTTGTGCTTGAATATGCATGCACTAGATCCATTGATTAGGCATTGGACAAGGTCTTTACAGAGCTCTAATTGGATATACAGGTTTAAAGTTATTAAAATTATATATGGCAAACCAAAAACATTACAAAAACTTACATTTTCCAATCCATCCTCCTCCAACCTACCAAAAAGAGGGGAAAAAAGTTATACCATCTAATGTGAAATCACTAACAGGAGTTTTTAAAATCAGAAAGAACAGGCAGCTATCTTACTAAGAGTACTAGATGCTAGATGACATTGCATGAAAATACTATAGCTCTTTAAAAGTCTATTGGCCCCTCTGATTGCACTGATTATGCCATCAGAGTAGAAGCACAAAGCAGCACCATGTACAGAAGAGCATGACTCTGACATTGAGAACCGAGGTTTGATATTAGTTCTCTGGCTAGCTGTGTGACCCTGGTCACATTACTTGACTTCACTAAATTGAAGTTTCCCCTTTTGTAAAATGAGGATAATAATATACTCTTTGTGAAGAGCCATGAAGGTTAAACAATATAAATGCAGTTGACCCTTGAACAATGCAGGACAGGGGTACCAACTCCCCATGCAGTTAAAAATCCACATATAACTTTTGACTTCCCAAAAACTTAATCACTAATAGCCTACTGTTGACCAGAAGCTTCACTGATAACATAAACAGTCCCTTAACACATATTTTGTATATTATATGTATTATATACTATATTCTTACAGTAAAGCATGCTAGAGAACAATTTTCAAATTGGCACAAATCTCCAAAAACTTTTCCAATATATGTATTGAAAAAGTCTGCATATAAGTGGACCAACACAATACAAGCCTATGTTTTCAAGGGTCAACTGTAGTAAAACTGCCCAGCACCTTGCAGACTGAACAACACATCTCTCTAGGAAAACTTCATGAGTAAAAAAGTAAAAAGGAAAGAAAAATAAAACCAGGATTTGACTTAATGAACTACATAGTCATTTTACTGAAACATCTTTATATAGAGATAAGGCAAATGACCAAATACATTTAACTGCTATGCAGTAAGGTAAATTTTTTTCTAGAGGTCATTTGAGGAAATCCTCAGAAGAAAATGTTTGATGTAAAGAAAATCTGTTTGTCATATCTTCAAACACTGCAACTTCAGTGTACCAGAATTTATCACAAGAATGCCACATGCCCATGAGAGAAGAAAATGTACGAGCAGACAGTACCCACTTTAGTGGCTCTGGGCTCAAGGGTATGGCTTTTGATTACTTTTTGCCTTTATAGTCATATGCCCACACCTTTTGTGATAAGCCCATTAGCCTTGATGCTGTCATAGTAGATAAATCAGCAGTGGTTCTGATACCAGGCAAGAGAGATAATCACTTTTTACCATATTTTGGAGTGAAGCAACAAGCTATAAGCTCCTCTCAGGCTAGAAGCAACCACTCCAGTCAAACCAAAGAATCTGTATCTGCCATTCTAACTAGCTATCAGAACTTTGCAAAGTGGCAATTTACTTTCAAGATTTCAGTCAAAATATCACACACACCCCTTACTACATTTTACCGATCATGCTTACCAAATGTTCTTCACTAAAAATGTTCACAATATAGTAAAAGAAAACAGAGCAACATAACAAACTTCATCTGCAGCATGATCTAAGTTATCTGGGTATGTTTGGGTGTATGTATAAATGTGTATATAAAAAAAGACTACTCATGTAAAATGTATATCTAATCAAAGACTGGGAGAGAACACATAAAAATTTAATAATAGTTATCTCTGGATAGTGATTTTTATTTTCTTCTATATACTTTCCTGTATATTTTAAATTTTCTACAAAAAGCACATTATTTTTGTTCACATACCTAATAATAGATACAACTGTAAAAGACAAAAAGTTTAATGATAAAATTCTTTAATAACATGAAAGACAGACAGGCCAAAATGTGAACTCCAGATGGCTTGATATTATTAAATTTTCCTCTTCTGTAAATTTAGAGTTGTAAAGTCCTTTCTACCGCTAATTTTCCACAACTCATATTTAATGGCTGTGATTAAGAAAATGGAGACACATATCTCTGCTTTGACAAGTGTAGACTTTTTATGTATTTATCAGGTTTTTATTCAAATGTATCAGGTTAATATATACCATTCACTTCAAACTGAGTGAGGTTACTTTGCAACCAAGAAATATTTTTGAGTATCATAGTATTCCTCATAGGACAGGTTCATTATTACCACAGAGAATCAAATAAAGGTGGGGTGATCTAAAATACAACTGTTCATGCTAGAAAAGAAAAAGACCAAAATCAAATGAGAAATCAAAAATGTATAAATTGGCATTAGAAGATCGAAAGTGACTTTGAGTATGGAGCAAAAAAATAGGATATTGCTGGATGGTGGGATTATGCATGATTTTTATTTTTATGATAAACATCTAAAGCTCTGCAATAAGGCAAAATAGAAGAATTTATTTTTAAAGTTAAGGTAAATAATAAATTATGTTTACTGATCTATCATACCAGACTAAATTCTTGCTATGCTGATATAGTAGCTAAAATTAAGGGGTAACACTATGGATGAGGTCTATGTTAAGAGTGTAAAAGTACGATTTCTGGTTACCACAACAAAATGAAATCTCAGGGAGATTAACCTGTACAATATTCCATCAGGCCAGAACAAAGAACTGACACAATTTTTTTTTGCAATTACCAGAACAAACTATTCAAAACCTGGCCTGGCTGACTCCACACCCCAAGCTCTAGCATTCTACTTTACCATTCAGGTTCTCAAACCAAATGACACTTACATGATTAAACACATCAAACCAGCCAGGTTTTCATTTGGTAAGAAATTAGGAAGGAAGAACTAAGGTTAAAGACAATTTATGAAGTTGCTGTTACTTTCTCAAAAAGCACATTAGTCAGCACTTGTCCCTTTATTATATCAAACATAATATCTAAAAACATGCAAGTCATGTCAACTTGCATCAACAGATGCAGATCTTTACAAACGTGAGCTATTGGAAAATACTAATTNCCATTTTACTCTGTAAATTCTTTACTTTTAAAATAATAGGTAATTCAGAGATTTTCTTAATAAAAAAATGAGATATTCATAATTAGTCTCACATTCAAGGCTTTTGGAAGAACTTTTTCATCCCACTGGAAATATTCCTGAAGCTCTCTTCAGCTTTTAACATTGAAGGCATCAGACACACCTTCCCAAGATGGGGAACATACTATTCTGGCAAAGACAGGTTATAGCTGCCTACTCAAGACTGGGGAGCAAAGCTATATAGAACATGAGGAACTTAGGTACCATCCATTTCCAAAACTAATTTGCTCTCCCAGAGATTTAACCAGGAGCTAGAAAAGTACAAAATATCCTTGAAAACTGTAAAGCCAGTAGGATAATGGACCTTGCAGCCATTACTCATGAGTTACAAAGTATAAGAAGTGTTTTCCCATTGCATTCCTACTGTGAACAACTTAACGGAGCAGACAGGTACTATGCAAGGAGTACGAAGACCTGGAT